CTTATAGGAAGCTTTTCCCGAACCCAACATAATATAAACCCTATTTAATTCCTTATATTAAATAGGGGAATTTGTCGGCCAATATATTGGTTTTGCAGACCAAACGGATGTCATAACTTTCTTTAGTTTATTTGATCGAGCCTCACCCTCAATTCTTGTGTTCATCCTTCGGGATAGATATAGGGTTTGAGGTAAAGCGCTCTTTCATTTAAACTATGAAAATTATGGGGTCAGTTTGACTTCATCTTTTTCAAAATTAAAATTTTTTTAAAAAAAAAAACGTCCCTCCGAAGTGGGCAACGGGATTTCAATTCCGATGACCTACAGCTTCTTACGGGCAAACCCTACACCAAAAATAGTGCCGACATACTTTGATTCTTCTTTTAATCAAATGATTTGGTTTGTGTGTTCAAGCATACTTTGTGAGTAATTGCTCCTTCTTTGGGATGGGGATATAGAGTGGATGTATGTGAGAGTTTCTTTATGTGTTGTGGATATTAACTTTTTGTGATTCATGAACATTTCACTTTAGTCATGTAATTTGTTAAAATCTATTGTGAATTACGATTCTCAGAAGAGATAGCAATAGAATCAACTAAGTTAATCACATTAGCTTGAAGGAATAAGGATATATCCTTTAGGATAATGCAAACTTTGGGGAGAATGTCATGCTCGTGTTAAAGGTTAGAATTAGGGAACTAATCTACATCTTAACCTAACCTTCTTATTCCACTGGAAGGGGGCAAGGAAGAGATTTGCTCTTGTTTGTCATCTTTTTATTTTGTGAAGTTTTCACATACATTTCTTATTGAACCTTTCTAAGGGAGAATCTTCTTTCACACTTGAGTAACCTTTCATTTTCATTGCTGATAACTTGGGATTCTTGTGTAGAACTTTAATTAAACCAAAATTTCAGGCTTATGTTGAAAATAGTAGGCTAGAACTTTTCCTTCATTGAATTTTTCTTGTTCCCTATGGGATTAACAACCAAATTCAAACATGGCACCATTGATACACCACATATACTTGTGTGAGCAACCCATGCTTCACAACACTTGGTGTGGGTCAAAGTGCAAAGTCACACCAATATCTTTCATTTTTTAAATATTTTTATATCATTAAAGGATATAATAGATAATCAAGATAAGATTTCACAAGTGCATGTGCTTCTTGATTATAAGGAGATAATAATTATTAAAACTAAATTAAAATTAACACATCACTCATTTTTAAACATAATAAAAGACTAATCTAATAAGGCATGAGAATTATTTTTGAAGTGGTTAAAATAGCTTTAGGTCAATTTATCTATTTTTGTATGATTAAATGGATTAATGCACTGTAGCCATCTTTTACAGATCCAAATTTGATTAAATTAACTATTAAGCTTATGATTGGCCCAAAATGGTGAACAAATAGTTACAATGGCTACTTATTTAATGAATTTAAAGTATTCACCCAAGATTATGGGAGTGAGTGTCAATAGTAAACAATTTTGAATATATAAGAAGTAAATATGTGCCAAAAATAAGTTGTAAGAGACTCACTTAAATGTGTTAAATGTAGAAAATAAGCTCATATGTAAATTTAATTTACACTTATTTATTAAAAAATAATAGTAAAATAATTAGGGTCTTAAATCTTTGTTACTACCAAATGCTTACCTGCAATTTTCAAAATTCACAAACCTTCTTACTACCCCCCAAAAGAATAATAATAATGTTATTTTCTCACAAAATTAATTACAAAACAAAAAAAAAAAATTTCTTTGAAATATATTTTCAATTTACAAGAAGTTAGATCTAGCAATACTATTGAAAATAATTTTATTGGAGGAATAATTGACCAAAACTCTTTCTCTTTATGGAACAATTTATCGAGGCAAATATTACAGTGACAAAATTGTTTTAACTTTTAGGATCAGATCCCAGCTGCAAATTGAGAAATTCGATTGCCCATCTCTTAAAAAGCAAATACTACAATTTTTTCCCTTATTAATAAAGAAGAATATAATTGAAGTACATGAGAAGAAATATTATTGATCACACATCAATACAAGTGCCTTGTAGCATTATTTATAAGTTGCTTACAATGTAAATTGGTAAATAGTTTACAGGGGTAAAAGAGATAGAATACAATAATATATATATTCTAACATTTTGTAATCCCTATCATTATTGTAGAGACAAACGACATACCAGAGGAAGAGAAGAGTAGCCAAAGCAGAGAATCAATGATCCCCATTTTTAATTTTGGATTAATTTTCTTAATGGTATCTAAATTTAAAATCTTTTAATGAGAAAAATTAATAATTATAAATAACTCATAATAATTCAATAATCCCTCAAAATTTTATGAAGTATTTGTGAAACTCCTTTACACTTTTGAAACTAAGTTCATAAGTTTTTTAGATCATTTGAACTTAAAATAAACATAAAACACAAATTAAAACACCTAAATCAACTAATTTTAAAGAAAATTCAAAAGAAATCTAAAATTCGTAAAAAAAAAACACTTTTATGTGCTTTTAGGTATTAAGAAACATCATTTTGCTTATTTATTTAAAAAAATTAATTTTTTTATAATACTTGGGGTGCTTTAAGTTATATGTTCACCCATCCCCCGAGATAAAGTTATATATTTATAATTAAGCATTTTAAAATCTCCAAAGTCAAATTCAAACAACAAATTCTAAAAAATAAATAAAATTATTAAATAACTAATCATTTAAACCCAAACCACCAAATGGTAAACATTTAATCTCAAATCAAATTAAAATTCAAAAACAAAACCCTACTTCCTATTCATCACATATCCTAACACACACCCATTAAATTTATGTATTAAGGTACCAGCCCTATATTTAGCATTGAACCTGTAAAATAAAATAGTTTAAACAAGATGAATAAACTTGTACATCAATACATCCCAATCGACCATGATTGACTTTAAGCTCCTCTGATTGTATCCAGACAAAGTCCAAGAAATATGTCTAGATGTGACATTCAAACAACATCTATCTTAAAACGTTTTGGTTTGCTTCATATGTTATTTTGCAATAAATTCTTCATCCTTGGCATGATGAGAAATTCCTTAAAATTTTATGAACTTGTTAGGGTGCATTACCAATTTCAAGAAAAAATGATCACTAATGAGGAAGTTCTTCCTAAATTTACAGAAGAAAATAAATAAGCTTAGTCTTTCTCCTAGATGGTGCTAAATGATTATGTCCCAAAAATTTCTCAATAATAGAGAAAGATAAGTCTTGGTTCAATAGTAAAGTCCAACACACGCATAGAGAGTTAGAAGGGAAAAGAGAATAACATTTTTGCATTAAATTCTAAAAGGAAAAAAAAATCATAAAGACTAGCATAGTCAAAATAGTTTACTAGAAAATTTAATTTATATGATTTCAGTTTTCTCTTCAATTGAAGAAGATGAGAACATAAAATTATTAATACCCGATCCTCCTATTAGAAAATAGTTTCCTATCAGGTATTAATCATCAAATGGTTGCAGCCAAATTACAGATATAAAAACTTTGTAATTTCAACTTTCTCAATTCAGAAGAAGAGTGGATTTGTGTAGACATTGTTAATTATTTTAACTGGGTCAGACCCTCTTATTTTTGCTTCTTTCAAGGGTTTCCAATATAAAAAATCGAGGTGTCACCTACTGCTTACTTCTCTTTAATTACCTGTGTGTGTGCTGGTTTTCATGCAATGCTAAGACTATAAATAATCATTACTCTTTCACCTCGAATCTTCTAGCACAAATCACATATAGTATTATTCCACGAATAAAAAGAAAACATGATAACAATATTTAAAGATCAAACAATATTTAATGACTAAAAAGAAAACATGATAACAATATTTAAAGTATTATCCCATATTTAATTAGATTATTAAAAGTTCAAATTGAGGTATGCATAACTGAGCTCATGCATGTCATTTTACAAACTCCAGCACATGATGGTTTAATACTTTGCATGCAATTTTGAATTGAGAGAAATTTGCTTTTTTAGCTAACGACCGATACTCTTGCTCAGTACGCTCTTTTGCATCACCGATAGTCATCATGATTAAATTCGTGGCATAAATGTCTTGTGCAACGACATTTCCTTCAATAATCTCGGGAAGAATTTGTTCCACAATAATCACTTTTCCAAAAGTCGGCAACGCGCTCCAACAGTTTTTCAAGATTTTGAGGCATTTCTCATCGTCCCAATTATGAAGAACCCGCTGCAATAAAACACATTAAAAGAATTTCATGTGCATTCAAAACATGTTAGAGACTTCATAGTTAAATTTAAGTTGTTTATATATGAAAAATTATATCACATTTCAAAGAGATTTGTTGAACTTCGTTTTGATATAATAAAGCAAGTTAAAATCGATTAATTGTCGATCGATATGTATAAGCAAGACATTAGTCATTTTATTTTTACTATTTTGAATTGTTTTATACTCTGTTTAAAATTTCCTCATTTAAAAACATTATAAAAAATGGTAATATATTATTGGAAGTTTAAATACCTTTAATAAAATAGTCCCTCCACTTGGAATCGTGATAAACATGTCCCCTCCAACATGTTGCACACCTAAAGATTGAAGGCAAAAATCAAGTAATGAGCTTTTTCAATAAATGTGAAATGAGTTACATTGCAGAAATTTGAAGGACAAGAACTATATAGAATATTAAGCATGTACAAATACCTAGGATATATTATTTTGCCTAATTATCTCACTAATAACAATCAATGGTTAGAATTAGAAGCCACACTAGTAGTTACAAGCCACGTACCGGGAAAAGATGGTGCCTCAGAAACGACATGAGGTAGATCAAAGTTAATTCCTTTAATATGAGGATATTTAGAGATGATCATTTTCAATAAAGTTCCATCTCCGCCACCAACGTCGACGAGCTCTTTTACTTGCTTTAGACCACCATACTCTTCAACAAGCTTTTCTATCACCATATTGCTACTGCTTGCCATGCCTTTATTAAATAACTCACAAAAACTTGGGTTCTTAGCCATGTACTCAAAAAAGGTTATGCCATGAGTTTTTTTGAAGGGATTTACTCCCTCTTGCACCGCTTCCTTCATATGATCCCTGTCAAAAACATCAATCGAAACGTAACATGAGCTAATTTTGCATTTCATAGGTCCTTCACAAATATGACCCCTGTTCTATATTATACCATGTATCTGTTAAAGGCTTTTGATTGCCCACAAGAAAAAGAGGAGCTAAAGATGCCCCAGGTTGGTTCTTGGTTAGGAGCCTGCTTACTGGTGTGAGCCCATATTGCTTCAACGAGGAATTAGTAGTGCAGGTGAGGAGGGAATGAGTAGCAAGATATCCCAATATGGGTTCTAGCATGATTGCAGCTTTTTCATGCCGACATTCCGGCAGGTTTCCGGCAATCTCGACGGCAGTCAGCTGGGAGTTAGGACCTGCCATGGCCAATATGTCAAGTGTCAAAGACGCCGAGATCAAACGCTGCCTTCACTGCCCTGCAAAGAATAGTGGCGGCGCAGAGATGCATGCCGGCACCAAAGGCTTCATCCTCCTTAGTTGTAATGTTACTCATGTTGTTTTTTTTAAGTTTGGAGAAAGGAAGGAGAGGTTTGGCTTGAATGAATTCGTTTGCTCCTCTGCTGCTTCTCGATTTATAAGAATTTTTGTAAAATTAGATTGGTAGATTTGCCATGTTTTTAAAGATAAGATTAATTGTTTTTACTACATGTGTCCTGATGATGATGATGATGGGTAACAGCGTCAGCCATTACGTAATCAGAGAAGAAAATTAGCCGAGTTCATAACTTGTGATCAACGACCGCATGTGATTCCGAATTTGATTTCTATTTGGTAATCATCTTGTAGGATATCTTAATTGTTTGAAGGCATTTTTGCAAATTACTATTAGCAATCTGTCATATAATTTAATTAATGACTCACGACCTAAATAATGTTTGTTCATGAATTCACTGAAATAATGTTTGGAGTGAATTTCTATTCTAGGAATGGAAGTTAGATTCTCATTAGAGTATGAAGTGAACAACACTCTTACATCATACGAAATATTTCCTTCTCAGAATTTATTTAATGGTGTGAACGTAATCTAATTAAAAGATGTGGAAACGGGATGCATAGGTTTATGATTGATTTTTTGCTTGGATACACAAGATGACAAACATATACATGCGATGGCTAGTGTAGCTAAAGTGACATACAATATTAGTGGGAGTCGTCGTAACAGATTGTGAATTAATGTTCAACTGATTAATGGTCTTTGACGGAACTAATTTTACTAAAATGTTAAATCCTCTCACTTGTAGTAGACCCAATAACAGAGTTATAACAAAAGGCGAACAAATCAGACAATAATCAATACATTGTAAAAGGAGTGAACGTTTTACATAGGTTGAAAAATGACAAATAGCATATTGAAATAAACGACACAAGTTTGAGCCACAAATTTTGGATCAAATTTCTTTCGAGCCGACCACAATTAAGCACGAAGTAAGAATATTAACAGTCTACGGAGGTTGTTAAAGCGGTCGAATATTGAAAATATATCCTAATTTTTTTTTTTTTTTTGAATTTTTAGATCTATTATTCTCTGTCACCATGGCTGCATCAACCCTGCATGAGTTTATTTCTTTCGCATTTTATTTTTCAAGTGAAAATCTAATCATTAATCCAAACACTCTCATCTCCGCAAAAATATATTCTTAGATAAAAAATATTTCAAATGTGAAATCTAATTTCCATTTTCAAAATTGAAATTTTCTTCCATTTAATTCATTTTAGCTTTCTTTTTATCAAGAGTTAAAAACATAATGAGAAATATTAGATCAACTTATCTATTTTATTTTGAGTACTGTGTTAAAAAAAGTGCACTACAATAAGAATAAAATATATAAAATTAATTTTCATTCATTCTTTCAAAGCATTTATGATTGGAACATTTCGGTCAATGTAGCTTTTATCATACGTTACGCTGGAAAATTCTGCATTGCTGAAAACTTCTCCATTGTTTGACTATTCAAAATCTCTTCTGACTTTTCAAAATAAAATAAATATTTACATACATGCCACTCAACTATTATGTATTTATATATCAAACCCTTAAACCTTGCTTTTTAACCTTTTCATCTCCTAAATTTTTCACATTACATCAAGCATCCACAACATCATATTTCTGAAATTAACATGTGCGTTGCCATTTTCAAGAAAAAAAGGAACATTGTGGAGCTAATTCTTCCTAAATTTAAGGAAGAGAATATCATTGGTCTAAAGCGGCCCGCTTTTAAGGAATTATAATGAATCCTAAGAGCTAAAGTTTGGCTAGAGATATGATTGTTATCCTCCTTAACTAAATGAGTTTATGTTATCAAGAAATTTTGATTTATCTTGAAATTTTTTATTTTTGGGATTTTGGAAAAGAGATTTTGGGGTCATTAATGAGTCTGGGTTACATTTTTGTACGATCCCAGACAAACAACAAGCCAAGAAAAAGAAAATATCAGACACAATGTGCAATGTAAAAGTAAGCCAAATGAAGGATTAAAAGAACGGGTGTCGCTTGGTCGGCAATATATTCGTGAAAAAAAAAAGGCCGACCTTTGCGCATATAAGCCCATACCTAATTCTATATACGAATTGTAAATTGAGAATAAGGTACGGGATACGAGTTTTAGCTCTTAGTCCCCATCATGTGGTTCGGAGCATCGTGCATCTCAAAGCCTAAGTCCATACATTATTTCCAATATAAAACTCTATAAGGACTTTAAAAATGCATATAAAAGTAAAAAAAAAAAAAAAAAGACTCAACGTGCAAAAGAGGTTAGCATGGGTTATGTTCATATCTGGCGAAAGGAGAGCATAAGCAACACCTATAGAAAAAGTTAGTATGTCGGCGGGTTTGTATTGCCAGCCATCACGCACCAAAGTTCTGCAAGTTTTAAGTCACACACATATCGTGGCATATGTGTGCGGCAATATCGTAAGTGTCAATACTCAAAGAGACACCACATGCAAGTAGATGTCAAAGACAAATTAAATTTCTTTTCCATGCAATAATATTTAGCATATTACATACCATTCAAAAATTCATTTTTTTTTTATGCACATACAAACACTGAGCCAAGCATTTTGCATGAGCATGCAAGTAATGCAAATGCAAGTGCAAGACACAACATATAAATGGTTGGTTGATTGGGCCTTCGTGGCTGATCAAACCAAAGTGTTTAGTTTTGCTGTCGGCTCTTTGTGGTTGATCGAACCAAAATGATTGGTTTTGTGATCTTACCATGGTGACCGATCAGACAAAAATAATTGGATTTAGGAGACTCCATTAAAATTTACATGATATTTTTTAATTTCATAATTGTCATAATACTCTTCAATTTAACCACCAACATAAAATTTTAGATTTTATGTTCTCCCAAACATCACAATTCAATTTATAATATATTTAAGATATTTAAACTTATTTGATACACATATTACATATGATCTGACATAGTTTCTTATAAAATATTCCACCATGTTCATAGATTTTGAAAATTGCACAGAAACCCTCCGGTAATACGTAATGTGTCCCACAAAATGAATAAAATATATAAAATTAATTTTCAAGCATCATTTGCATAATGATTGAAACATCTACGATTTGACTATTCAAATCATTAGGCAAAATAAAATAAATGTCTCAGTCAACCCAGCAGGTTGACTATTGAAAAAAAATGTGGCAGGGACACTATGGTTTGACAATTCGTGTCCTTTGACCAATCAAAAATGACTGCCGAACAATTTTTTTTGAATATCCATTTACTATTTTCTTTTCATTTTAAAAAATCTGAATTTTCACCGAGTCATTAGCCAAAATCATACCATTAATAATTTCATAAATATTACATGCTATTTAAATTATCCAAAATTCTCCAAAATTCTATTAGTCTTAATAATCTCCAATAAATTTAAGGGACATTTACATACATGTCACTCAATTCTTAGGAATTTAAGTAGCAAACCCCTTAAATTTTGCTTTTTTAGCTCTTGCATCACCGGAATATTTCACTTCACATCAAAAATGTCATTACTAAATATTTAAATTTCAATATTTTATAAGAAAATATGCCATATCATGTGTAATATGTGTGATTAATAAGCTTAAATATCTTAAATATATGATAGATTAAATTGTGATGTTCGGTAGAACGTTATGTTCTGTAGATTCATGAACATAATGGTTCTATTGAATTTCAATTCTAGGAATAAAAGTTAGACTGTTCATTGGATGATGAAGTGAATAAAACTCTTACAACATACAAAATATTTTTATGCCATAATTTATTTATAACTGGGAAAGTAATATAGTTAAAAGTTGTTAAGACAAGAATACTTAGGTGGATAAGTGGTTTTACACTTGTAGAGAAAATGGAAATATACTCGTGAGGGTTCGTGTAGCTATAGCGACAGTCAGGATTAGAGGTGAAGCAAGGATAAATGTTCATCGATTATCGGACTTCGACAGCTCTAACAGCTTGAGTATGTTATAAACGTTCTGACTCCAATGTTGTTTAAAGCATTCACATCTTTTAAAATGTTTTGACTATTATTTGGTTTGATCACTCTTTATTATGAATCTGTTAGTAGATCTTTCACAATAATTAAATAAAATGTACTCAGTTAAATGCACTATACAATGTGTTGATTATTCTCAGGGTACACATGTATATTCGTAGATCGAGATCTGGGATGTACAACAAACTTTATCCATTCATAAAAGGGATCACCTAAGAGTTCTTAAACAGTGTCAAGGCATTCGTGACACCAGCAACGCAACTTCCATCTTTTCCATATGAGAGTAGATTTTGATGTCCATGCTCAAAATACAAGAATCAAGCACATTAGCACCAAAAAACGTATGATATGATTTATATCGTCAGAGGTTTTAGCTTAATTGTTGGATTTATACTTCACATTGGGAGGTTGAGCCTACAACCTTCAGCTCAGTTCCATCGACCAGCTATGATCCTCCACCAAGATTTCACATAAATAGATTTAAAGAGATGAACTTTGATAACACAACGTTACGTTACCTGATTCAAGTGTACGAAGAGATATCAAATCAGGATGCTGAAACTTTTTATGATTTACTGAATACTGCTCAAAGGCTAATTTGAGAGGGATGCACTTCTTATTCTAAGTTATCTGTAGCCCTTAGAATGCAAAGAATTAAAACTCGATTTAATATGCCCCGAAAGTGCTTCAATCAGTTTGCAACATTTCTGAAAGAGACTAATCCACAAGAGCATTTAGTTCTAGAAAACTTTAGTAGTATGTAGATGTACTAATTAAATTTACTTTCCTACTTTTTGATGACTTCTGAAGGGAGGAGCAATAAGCTCCCCCTCGAGGGACGTGTTGGCTTGCAGAAAGTTTGTAAGGCGACGAGGTC